GGGGTTGTTCAGCCAGGAGAAAAGAAGGCTCCTTCTAATAGCAGCCTTCCAGTACCTGAAGGGGGCTACAGGAGAGATGGGGAGGCACTCTTGATCAGGGAGGGTAGTGAGGACAAGGGGTAATGGGTATAAGCTGAAAGAGGGCAGATTTAGACTAGATATTAGGAAGAAATTTTTCACTGTGAGGGTGGTGAGGCACTGGAACAGGTTGCCCAGGGAGGTTGTGGATGCCCCATCCCTGGAGGTGTTCAAGGCCAGGCTGGATGAGGCTTTGAGCAACCTGGTCTAGTGGAGGGTGTCCCTGCCCATGGCAGGGGGGGTGGAACTTGATGATCTTTAAGGTCCTTTCCAACCCAAACCATTCTCTGATTCTATGATTCTATAATTGGTGAAGAAAGCAATAAAAGACTAGCAGCCCTACAGGGTAGAACTGAGGTTCTGTTACCCTACCTGTGCCTATGACAAAACATGGACTTGTTTTCGGAGAATCATGGACTGCACTAAAATGGTTTAAGTATAGCAATATAATATATGTAAGAATCTATAAATTTGCTGTTTTATAAGAAAATCTTTGCATATATTAGCATCACAAAGGAAAGACGCTGACACGATACCTTTAGCATTTGTCATGCATAAAACTCTTCTTTAGTTATGTGCCTGGTTTTGGATACACATAGCATTAATACGCTGGTATAAATTTTATGTTGCTCTTGAAGGAGCTGCAATAACATAAAAGGTAGTAAAATGGCCATATTTGGAAGCTGCAAACTGTACCATTCCTCCAGCTTACATAGACTTGCTGCCAAATCTACTGCTGCTGCCAACGCCATCGTTCTTTTTCAAGACAGAATCAAACAGCACTGCCTTACAGGAATATGTAGCTTACACAGAAGAGCATAATGACCAATCCACATCTGTGGTTTAGAGAAAGAAAAAAGTTAAGAAAGGAATAAACTCCCTGAACCAATAAAAAGATAGAAGGAATTAAAAATGAAGTAACAGAAAAGCTACCAAATACATACTCAACAGGAAAAAGCTTGATATGAATATCTCCCATGCTTGTGTGGATGATGGCACTGTCTGAAACTCTTTTGGGACCTTCTGCCTGAGTGGCTGCCATAACCTCTTCTTTAGAAGGTTTCTCATTAAATACATCTCTGTCAGAATCTGCACTTTTCGTGTCTTCTGGTTCACGTCTAGTAAACTGAAGAACAAAAGAACAGAAGGTTAACTGTCTGGTTTTCTCTTTTTTCCCCTTTTTACACACTGCTCTGCACCAGAGACATCAATGTGATTATTCAACCTGCTGAAGACCCAACTAGCTTTGAAACGTACAAGAGATTCATAGCCTTGCATTTCGGTGATATGTGTTACCAGCATTTTCAGTCACAAATTCCAGTACAACTACATGCATACCCAAGTAACCTTTTACAATCTATTATCTTTAAGCTTCCTCTCCTTTTCAACAGAAAGTCCACAGTAGTTCAGCATCTTTTCTTTTAAAAGAGTGAAGAATGTGTTCTGTTATATTCAGACAAAACTGTCAGGTTTCATCATAAAACTTTTAGTTTCACTACAAAGTCAAACTAAATCCTCTTATTCCAATACTACAAAACTATAGAAAACCAGCAAATTTAACTCAAAACAGAAGAAATCTCAGAAATTTATTTTTTACTGTAGTTACAGTAAAACATAGAATAAATATATGAGTACATGAGCATCCGCTTAAGTGAGTAGTACACTTACATATCAAATCACAATCACTAATATTTCTGCAGGCATACAGTCATGTTTTCTCTAACAGTGAGTAATGTTTCCAGATTTTGTCTAGATCTTCCTCTTCACTTGTCAAATCGTTTAGAGTAGTATATTCCACAATATAATACACATTAACCACACAAAGCCTTAGAGAGTACACTATTTTGCTCCAACAGATAACACTATCAAAGTCAAGCACAAGTAACAACAGAGAGACCAATCTCTAACCTCTATGGTGACCACATCCCTGATCAACTACTAACTACTTTGGAATTGCTTGTCTATTTGGCTTATTCACTGTATCTCACCTAAATGTGAATTGTGAACAGGAAGACGACTCTTGTCTTAGTTGCCCATAACATTCATGGTGCTACAGAGTCCTGACAACACTCTGAATTTAATTATTCTTTATTACATGTTTTATAATTATTGTTTCTTCATCAATATAAGGTTTGGCTAGGTCTTTTAAATATTCTTATTTGAGGTTTTTTTTTCCAACTAGAACAAAAGCCTATAACCTTCTCAGAGAACTATAACTTAGACAGCCAAAACCATCCAAGTTTATTTAACTGCCTGAGCAATAAGGAAAAAATTAAAGCTGTTTCTAGTCAATTTCTATCTAGTTCAAGCTAAAAATTCTAGAATATACTTGCAATATACAGGGACTTCTCTAGAAGAGATGTGTTTGCAAATACTCAAGGCAAAAACTACTGGAAAGGTGCAAGAAGAAAAATAAAATTAACGCAGAGAAAACATCAATAAAAGAATGAAGTTATTGAAACAGACATCATACACACCATGTAAAACCTATTTTTTTTAAAAGCTGTGCAGATAACTGTTGGATCTGCCTGGATATTCTGGAGAACAGGATTTTCAGATGCCTTCATCTCTATAGTGATTGCAGCACGATGTTTCTTTGCTACTCCTTGGAACAAAGCCAGCTGCATCACTCTGATGTTCTCTTGTTTTCCCAAGATACGAATACACCTGAAGTACAAGATGTAAAAAGTTGTAGCTATCAGCTGCTCAGTCAGACACTGTCTCCTTCCTTACTGCAAGACTCAAAGCAAAATTCCCAAACCCTTCCAAAATAATTTTTTATTGTTTTTATGACACTTGTCCATTCAAACTTGCTAGATAATTTACTAGTCAGCCTCCTTATGCAATAAAATCCCACATTCACATTTACTTTATGTTATTCACATCCAGCCAGCCAGAGAGGAAATGATTATATATTTTTAATACAAATATGATTGCCATGTTTTCTCCTCCATTTACTAAGCTTTAGACTGCAACAACTCATTACAAAGCATGGGAATATCTTATCTACAATCTAATGTAAGGCTCCCAAATAACAACAGCAAAAAAAAGATTAGACTCCCCCAGTCATATCAAGTTTTAAATATACTACAAATTTGACTGAATGTAGACTTTAAAGCAAACATATTCATCTCAATACATGTCACTGGAACTTACCTGTTAGTCTCTACATTTATGACCTTAATGCCCAACATTGTTCCATAGAGAACAAAGTGTCCAGTTTCATCAAAAATTATATTAATTAATCTTACTCCATCCACTTTCTCCAGCTCACGCTCAACTGCCATACGTCGGCCAAACTCCATGTCTGGCAGTTGCTGTCTCATCTGCTGAAGTTCAGTAAACATCTACAGGAAAAAAAGAGAAAAAAATCACTATTATATTAATACATTTTAAACTTTTGATCCAGCAAAACACTGATCCACATGATTAGAAAATACAGAATTCAAGTGAAGCTACTCCACTCAAGCTTATCTGAAGAATGAAAATAAATACAAGTAATACTCTCTTTATTTTAATGACCCAATAGGCATCTTGTAGTACTAGGCTCAAGCAAAGAAAGAAAAGAAGTGTGTAACTGTCTAACAAAGTTCTTAGAAGATGACAAATTTCATTCATTATTTTGATGGCATTTAAATGGGCATTTTCCATAATTGCTTTCTAGTAAAAAAGAAATCTTGCAGTATGAAAACAAAGATGAAAATCAACAACTCAGTTTCACTGTATAACTAACATAAATCAGTAAGAATTAATTCTGGGGCAAAGCAATACAAGCAGCAAGAAAGAGAACATGGAAAACTTCTGCAAGAAAAATATAGCAATGAAACTCAGCTTTAGAAATAGATGGTAACTTAGGTGACCATGCTGGTAAATAAATTCAAATAAGTAAAGTCTCAAAAAAAAGAGAAGCAAGACCAAACTCACACTCAGAGATTCATCAAAGACTCTCATGAGCTTCCCCGTCAAAAACCGAAAAATTCTAACTTTTCTGTCAGACCCAAGAGTGGCCATTTTCTTGCCATCAGGTGAAAAACTTATACTGGATGGGTAAGCCTTGCATTTAGCAAATTCATATAGATCAGTATCTGTTTTAAACTCCCAGTTCACATTCTTGGGAAATTTATACTCATGAGGAGTACCAGTCCAGTATTCGATCATTCCAGATTTGTCAGAAGACACTACTACTTTGTAGACGGGGTTCAATCTTATCTGAGTAAGAGAGGATGTATGGAGTTTATCAAAAACATGAAGTGGCTGGTTATTTCCTCGTCCATCATATATGAATATTTTTCCTGTGCTCTTCTCAGATGTTGCAACAGAAGATATGGCATCTCCAGGGCAATATACCCATTCACATTGGCCAGGGTAGTAGCTGCAACAAGGAATGGAAGGAGAAAAGAAAAAAAGATATAAGGACTGGCTTTACTCAGATAAGAATCGAGTTGTGCTATCAACTTAAAATCAAATATCAGAAGCAAATTTTGAGCTTTGTTTACTAGTCAGGTTAATACCCGTCTTGCTAAAATTCAACAGTGTTACAACCAAGCTTTTCCAAGCAACACAATTCAGTGGATGGCTCAGCCCATTTCTGTCACTCCAATATTGTTTTATGAAGGGCCTGTGACACGAAGCAAAGGTAGAAGGTGTGTATAAAAGACGAATCAGGATGGAAATACAGCTAAATAGTCCCAGTAGCACTAATGATTACTACTCAACTTCTATGACTCAATAGCATTTCTCTTCCATCTGTTAAGCAACTAATGCTTCAGTGGAAATTAAGACAACTGCACCTTTACCATACACTTATGGAAAAGTTAAACTAGGTATTGCCAAAAAAACCCCACCAAACAACCAAACAAATTCCCCCCTCAAAAGCGATATAAGTAAAATTAAGACAACCACCCTATATTCAATAAGCATTCTGAATGCAATTAAGACGGAACCCATTTGCTACTTGCAAAAACATACTCTACAAACAAAACAAGACAGAGATATGATCAATAATATGTTATGTGTGTTTTTAAAAAAAATCTGTAAGCAAAGATTTTGAGAACCAGAACTGAGAAACTAAATGACAGATCACAAAGAAGTTATACGTTCTCCATAGGAAACTCATATTTAGGTTCCTTTCACAAATCAAACTAATGGATACTGAAGGACTGACAAATGACAGACACTAATAATTTGGATTTTCAATACCTGTCTGGTAAAGATTCTCATAAAAACAAACATAACCAGAAGTCTGTCTTAGGCTCACTGGAAAGAAAAGGATAAAATAAACACAAATAAATTAATAAATATCATGTCCCATTGACCTATGGATCATTATCCAACATTTCTGCAGAAATAGCTGCCCTTCTTCAGATAATTGATGGAAGCATAAAGCATGGGCATTTGCAGACAGCCGCACTGTACAGATGATTTAGAAGTCAAAGGATCTGGAAAATTTGAGACAAAGCTAATCAACTCCACAATGTGTCAGCATATACCTATCAAAGCACACAACTCAACCTGAGCTGAAACAACCACACAGAACTTACGATTCTACATTGACCACTGCAAGCCTGGGCAAAGAGCCATGAAAAAAATCTTAGGCAGGTCAACAGAAATTATCTGCTCACTAAACAGTAATGCAGAAGATAGAGCGACAAACACTAGGTTTTAAAAGGCTACTCAGAACAATGCTTATATCACAGCTATGTACTGTTCTCTTCTTCATTAAAAAGTTCACTTCAGCTAAAACTCAATTATCTCGGAAAAAAACATATGGGGAGAGGAGGGTCTTGATTACTGAGGTTGAAAAAATCTATTTAAAGATAAATCAGGGAATGTACTATAGAAAAATGTAGTCGGTAGCATTCTCAGGGTATCCCTGAAGCAAAATTGAGTTAAATTCTACCTCAGTTTTTCATGAATTTTCAAACAGAAAAAAAAGTACCTTCTATTGTAACATCAAATTAAGTTTTTCTAATATTAAATTAATTTTATTTCATCCTATAATTTTCCCAATTTTTTAGTGACAATACAGGGCTGCTAAGTCGAAAAGCACAGCAAAAATAAAAGACTAAGGCTAAATGGAATTTTTCCACAGCAGACAGCAAAGAGGGAACCAATTCCTATAGGTTAAGTACATTATCTGGAGGATGATACTAAAACTATAACCAGCAAAAAAGGTAACATCAGCTTTTATATAGGAATTCTGAAAAGCTTTTGCTTTTTTGGGGGGGTTTATACTTCTATTCAGCTTCACAAGTAGCCCACAAATAGTAGACTACGAGGAATAAATTCTCCAATTTTAAAAGGCTTGTGGAAACATCAGTATTTCTACTATTCTTGGTACAGTATTCATTGATATTCCTACCCTCCAAATCCAGCCTTGTAACAGTGTGGGGCTTGTTTTCCTCTGTTATTGTTATAATTCCAATAACATCCATCAGTATTTCTCCCAGATTCTCCAGCAACAGACTGTATAACTACAGAAATCCTACAACAGCAAGACTAAGGAAAACAATATTTTTTATAAAGGACAAGAAAATTTCTATCCCAATTACAACAAATAAGACAATACAGAGAGACCAAATTTCTTCTCTACTGGATCTATTAGTTGGCTATCATTTTTTAATTCAGTGTCAAACAACAGGAAAAAATTATGCCTAGCTAAGTAATTTGAGAAAAACTACAACTTTGTGCATAATATTTGCCACTGAGGAAAGACACAGACCTACTCCACTCACGTACTGTCACACACAGAGTCATAATTTTTTCTATTCAGTAAGGAAGTCTCCAGCCACTGGATGCATTTCAGATAATGCAACTTAGCTTCACCTGACTGAGGGGGGAAAACTCTCCAAAAAAACAATTTATTGACTTACCTCTTAGCAAAATAACCCTCATTTATAATCCAAAACAAACCTCTTCAAGAACTGAGCAACTTACCCCAGTTTCAGCATGTTGATCATATCAAAGTTTATTACATCAAACACCTTCATTGCTTTGTCATCTCCAACCGAACAGAATAATGCCCCCTCGGAACTAACAGCAATACTCTCAATAACACCTATTAAAAAAGTTAATATACTATTAAGACACAGAAAAGGGACATCCTTCATTTCAATATTCTGCAGGAAAAAAACTGCAGAGATTTAAACCTGTTTCTCAGCTGTTTCTCCACCTTTTTGATTAAAAAAAAATTACTTCAATTAAAAAAAACCACACAAAACAACACTTTGTATCCTATCACTGCTTAGAATCAGGTACCTGACAATGAACTACTAACCATATATATAGATGAAAGATGATAATGGCAATTATTTTCATTTAAAATTGAGAACAACATTATGACATGGTAAAAAATTGTGTGCTCTTCAGCTTGCATCTCTCAAAAGAGAAAAAGCAGAAGAATTCTACAGATTATTACAGTCCTGCTATTAACACACACAATACTCGAAACTACTCTCCAACTGAGCCTTGCATAAATTTTTCACAATACTTATTTTTGCTTGGTAGCCTTTGTTCTCACATCTTGTTTCTGTATATAATGAGAAGCTCATAGTCAAGATCAAGAACCCACCATAAGATTTTTTTTTAACTGTAAAAAAAAACAGTACTTTTACCTTCTATTATTAAATATTTTTCCTATTGTAACAGTCTGCAAACTGTTTTTTTTTATATCAGGCATATCATAATTTCTAATAGCAATGCAAACTTCATTTTCTGTCCAGCCCATTTAATGCTTACCATAGTATAGAAGAGCTATGTCTACTTCTAATTCAGCAAATCAGGTTAAAATTATTAATTCTTAATTGCAATTCATCTGATAATCTTGACAACGATGCAGAATTTACTCTACGGTTGCAATAACAGCAGATGAATACAGCTATTTTTTTCCATAATGCAGGGCAAAAAAAAAATATAAGAGATGGAGGTAACCTTACTTAAAATAACATCATCTTAAACTTTCTGGAATTTACAAACCTTGTTATGTACCTTGTTCACTTATTTTAAAATAGACAGCTTCTTCATGTCGTAGACATTCTCCCCACAGGCAGGGCACAAGGCAAGGCAAAGCATGCAGGGGATCTGTGCAGGAGGAGTCCCACATGTTTTATGCTCACTCTATCCCTCCTGTAGTTTGTGAGCAAAATGTAACAGGAGAGGGGAATAAAGGAAGATAGGCAGATATCATTTAATCCCTGACTGCAGTAAATGAATCCCAGAACTCTTCTGCTCTTTATTTGTGCTCCTCCTCAAACGACTAAGAGCAAAGGGCAGGAAAAAGTAAGGTCCTTTATAGAAGAAAAATTAACTTCTCACCTAGGTGACTCCGGAAGTGTTTAACAAATTCAATCCCTTCTTCTATTTTTTTCCAGAATTTTACATGTCCATCATGACTGGCTGTTATGATGAAATCTGTCCTACAATTACAGAAGAAAAATAACAAAAGAATGCCCCACAAAGACACACGTATTATGGACTTTCACACCACTCTGGGGCAGTAATTTGAACAGTAATTAACACTGTGTAGAGAAGGAACTTTAGACAAATTACTGTGACAGTACGTCTGAATGGGTGCTATCACTCCTTGAAAAGCAAACAAGTATTTTAATGCACTCTGGATTAATCTATGAAAAGCCAACAGCCTGAATTTAAGAAATATATTATATTATCCCTTTTGATTATGTACATTTTACTCTTATTTTAGGTCTGGTTTAACAGTAGTTGCTAACATATGTGTATATATATCTATAAAAAAGACAAGAAAGTTATCTCCTCAATCTGAAGTTCCGATGAATCATATTTTGTTCAGATGCAGTCATTTGCTGTTATTCCTCTATATATTGCACACTGCAATAAGGATTTTAAGACCCTCTTTTAGTCTATTTAAACAATTTTTTATCTTGCTTCTTTGTAAGTCTTTCCTTTGCACCTAACTTAAAAAAAACCCCAAACTTTTAAATACCACCTTTGGACACAGTAACCTTCCATCATTAAACTTCCACAATGGAAACTTTCTAGCATATACAAAAATACATCACTGTCAATGAGACACAATGGAAAAAAGACACTTACTTAGTACATGCTACATGTGTGATGACATCTCTGTGCATGTAACTGCGTTCATACATCGAAGCACATGGTAGATTTTCAAGATAAACATGCTCAAATTCAAGAACTAAACAAGATAAAAAGAAAAATCAGGATTTTTTTTTTTCACAAAGGTACATCTAGCTTCTGTTCTCCTTTTTTTACCCTTGATTAGGCTTACTCCAATTTTAGTCAAGAATATACTAGGATTTCGTGCAAAACATAACAGAAGAGGTTTCTACTGTGACTTTGTACTTTGACTTACAGATTATTGGTAGACTAAAGCCACTCAAACTCTGCTTTAACCCTGTTGTGGTTTAAAACCAGCCAGTCTGGCCAAACACCATGCAGCTCCTTGCTCACCCTCCCCCATTCTAGGGGACAGGGGTGACAACTGGAGGAGTAGTGGTAAGGAGACTCATGGGTTGAGATAAGAACAATTTAATAATTGAACGCAAAGAAAATGGGTGATACATATGCAACTGCTCATCAGCCGCTGACCAAGCCCCAGTTCCTGGCTAGTGATCCCAGAAGAGAGAGGAAGCCTAAAATTGCAATCCCAGAAAAGAGACAGGACAGAGATTCCGGCCAACTACTTATATACTGAGCATGTTGTTGCATGATCTGGAATATCTCACTGGCTAATTTGGGTCACTTGCTCTGGCTATGCTCCCTCCCAGCTTCTTGTGCACCTGCACACTAGCAAGTGCACAACCTGCAACTGAAAAGTTGCTGATTTTCTCATCAACAACTAAACACATCAGTATGTGATCAACATTCTTCTCATACCAAATTCCACAGTGAATCCAAAACACAGCGCTCTTCTACATACTAAGATGAAAATTAACTCTATCCCAGCCGAAACCAGGACAAACTCATATAAATGCTCCCTTTTAAAGCAACTATTACCTTGGCTTTCTGAATGTACAAAAAATAAATTAAATACACCAATTTCTAAACTACTGCCAGAAAGCACATCATCCTGCACTTCATCATCTTCCAAAACCAAATGTATCCCTGTTATTGTTAAAAGATTCAATGTCCCACACAGGTATTGCAGCTTAAATTCCAGGTGCTAGCACCGACCTATTTCATCGTTTGAGCTGGCCCACCCAAAATAATCCGATTTTCTGCTTTTGTCTCCTATTTTTACATCCTGACTGTTAACACCGGTGCGATGGCATTTATCACTGAACTGGCAGGCTTGCACCTGTCGAACACCGTTAAACTCACATTACCTTTACGGTGACAGTCAGAGAGCCTCGAGCTGCCGGAGGCACCACCACCGTGTGTCAAAGCGCAGCCCCGGGGCTGCTCCGCCTCCTGCAGCTCGGGGCAGCCACCCGCGGGACAGCCATCGCCACCGCCCCGCGCCGCTCGGCCCGAGGGGCCCTCCAGACGGGCCAGAAA